CTATTGTTCGGGACGAACAATACTAAGGAGGGGGCAGTGTTGCGTCAGCGAGGTCACGTGACTAGTATCACGCCACGTCCTTCTCGAACCTTCGGGAATTATCGGGAGACTACTAGATTGGGGGCAGTCTGGTATATATAAGACGTTCACAACGTGACGGGACAACAGGGTAATGAGTAATTGAACTGCAGTCAGAGAGTGTGTAATTGAACGGAGTATTATTGTAGTCGAGCTCGTGAGACGTGAGTCATAGCGTTTGTTATAGAGCGACTGTTGAAATTAAGTGTATCGTAAAGTTGTATTCGGAAAGAATAAACCAGTTTTATTTAAGAAAGGACTTGTGTCGCTAAAGTTTCGTCGGAACGAAGTTACGTAAAATTAACTAACGAACGGAGACGTAACAATATAATATCACTCTTGAAGGGTTATTTCTTGTGATGTAAAATGTACTGTTCTTAAAGGGTATTTTGCGTCTATTTTAGTTTTAGTTGCGATTGTGACATGTTAGACCATCCCCTTCTAAGTGAATTAGTGATTTCTTGAGTGCTACATCAGTAAAGTTTCACCTGGCTTTTTTCAGAGGTCTACTTTTAGAATCAGCCTGGAAAGAAAAGTGAGAGAGACTGTAGAGAGAGATTGCTTTTCACCTGTTTAGTTAAAAAGTAAATTTTTCAAAATTATGTTTATTTTTACTTTCTCCATTTGATATAGAGGCATTTAAGTGAGGTATTAACTTTAACTTTCCCTGTTTTGTTAATAAAAGTCTAGGAGAAAGCCAAAAGCTATTTCCATTTCTCTTACAAGATAACAACGTTGTTTTTAATTAATGACCAGCTTACCCTTGTTAACAAATCGGAAAATAGTTTCAAATGAAATCCCACTTGATCTTCAGTACCCGTTGGGCAAATAATCTAAAAATAATCGGTCACTGTGTTCTTTTTCAAAAGAATATAGTGATTTTTGCGATATATTTAAAACAATACTGGGGCTTGGGGGAGCAGATTTTACACAATATGTGCTGCTCATTAAAACCAAACAAATTGCTTACTTCCCACCACTATAAGAGGTCTGTCTACTATATTTGTTTTGCTCTTCCAAGTATCACTGATAAGCTGTGAATTCAGAAAAACTAAACTTCTGCAGCGGAAGCAACGAGTCAAAGAATAAATTAAGTCTCTATGTCACATTTTTTTTGCTGAAGTTAATTTTTTGGTGAGGAAAAGAAATTCACAAATACATTACTTAGTTTTAAGTTTCCTCTAGTTTTCTGTTATTTTCGGTATTGTGTTCCAGTTAATATCAACCACAATTTTTTTATACTCTCAACAACTCATAAGTGTACCTCTTATTTTAACGTTTTTATTGTTCTCACGCATGAGTTAAAGTATATTTGTCACATTTGTTGTTGTTTTTAATACCGTTCGTTCAAGGTAAGAATGAACAGCAGGGTCTAAAATTCTCGTCTTTTAGTCGGCCCTGACCAGCAAGGAATCCCGTGGGCCGATTAGAATAGCAATAATAATAATAATATCTAATCGGCTCTATTATTTTTCATTTTTCCTATTTTAATTTGTCACGTAAAGTATTTATGTAGATATTTAGTTTAACTTGGAGTACGTTTCAACTCTTGTTAGTCACGCACGCACACACACACACACATGATCACTTGCCCAGTAGTTAATCATTATAGTTTAATTTATCGTTCATTTGTATTGTGTAAGTCTCTTTAAGTATTTGCTGTTGGGTACAAGTGTGGCTTTGTCGGGACATATACACCAAGCTCGAGATTCGTGTTGGATCTTTTCCATCTTCTCAGAATTTAATGTCTTAGCAGTGTGTTTTAATTGCTTGAATTATTTTAAGTTTTTGTTGGATGATCTCGTGAAACGTAACATTTAGTTGTTTGCTGTTTACTTTTTTTTCTCGATAACTTAGGTTAATCTCAATGGCACAATGACAATGTAAATGTTATTTTTATGAATTACATCTTGTTTCAATATCGTCATCAAGTTATACCACGAGAGGGCGCAAATATATATGTTATTTTGAGACGGATTTGATGAAGTAGTTGTAAAGATGTGCGATCTCTCAGTTTTTAGGTAGCGTTTCTGCTTTTAGATTATCTAATATTTTGGTAATGTGCGATGATAAAAGTAAAAAGTACATGTTTGAAAAGAATTATTCATAAAGGAAACCTAACATTGATTTTATAAGGAAAACTATTCTGTTATAAAAGTTTAAAAATTTTATGTTATGACAATAAATTATATCTTAAATTTAAATACTTTAAAATTAAAGTTTAACTTAGTCTTAGGTTCTTCTATTCTTTCTTAGACTTAGAGAGAGAAGTTGGTTACGGTAATTAGTAGCTCATTAAATTTATTACTACTGTGTTGCCCATCCCCATGCTTTACAAGATTTAATATTACTAGTTTAAAGTAATTCAAGTATAAAACCTTCACTGTGGCAACTGAGTATTAAACATTTACTCATGATATAGTATTACAACAGTTTTACCTAAATATTTATGGTAGCACTATCGTTAAAAACATTGTGTGCTCCATTTATGACAAGTTTAAGTTGGTGATTATTATAAGACAGCCTCTGTTAAAAAATACTGAGATAGAGATGCTTATATTTTTACACACCCTCTGTATCAACTACAACAGTAGTACAATTACAAGTTCTTGTAGAGTGACATGGCCTGTATAGGCTGATTGAGATAATAATAATAATAACATGCAAGTAGTATGTTGTGCATTATTGGAAAGTAAAAACATCACATTTCTAAAGTTCAAAAAGTAGTAAATACTTTGGTGTCTAAAAATAAAATAGAACACAAAAATTAGTGATGATCAATAAAAAAAAATTAAGTAGTGATATACATGTGTGTATTTGCATAACTATGGATATATGCGAGTGCACACACAATAAGATATAGAAAAGAAAATCTTTCATTTACTCCCTTCCATGGATTGTTCAAGACTGACAGATAAGTTCATTTTTGTCTTGTTAATAATGTTATCTCTTCCATTAGAGTGTCAGGGAGTTTCAATGTGATAATTGTAATCCAAGAATTAATGAGAGTTGATAGGATTATAATAGATGGGTGTTTTGATGGTGTTCTCTGTAATTACAGTTAGAGTGATGTTGAGGAAGTTTACTGAGTGGTTTGAAATGTTGCTTTTGTACTGGAGGGTTATGTAATAGTTCTTAATAAAATTTATGGAGTTTATCAATGTTTGAAGTTGAAATTCCAATCATATTATCAATTAATAGTTAATATAAGAAGAACAGGTCTGTCATATGTTTGAAACATTTTGTACTTTATGTAGCCTATAAACAGGTTGGAAACGATGGCCCTGTCATCATGGCTAAATATTTTATTTGTTTTTAAAATAAATCATTTAAAATCATTTAGTATTAGGACAAGTTTATCTAGTTTTACTAGTGTTTGTTGATGGCTCTAGCATTTGTTGCTGATTAAGGTAGAACCTCAAAAATTCAAGACCCTTATTATACTGTAAAGAATTAATGTCCATTGTCAATAGTAATGGATTAGAAGTAAAAATAATTTCATTAACACCTGAAGGGCTTTGATGCTATCTTTGATATAGGTTAGAGAAGTACATTAAAGATGTCATGATCTTGTCTAAAAAGCTACATCAATACAGTAATTGTCTTACAGTAGAAAGTATAAGGTCTCCTAGGATTCCAGGCTTGTATATCGTAGGTTGAACTTTGTTTGCCATGTCTAATATGCAATTTGACAACCTCCTCCATATCTCATTCAATCTGCCTGCACTCCATGACCATATAGTCTGAGAGCTCTTTTGATGTATCTGGTTTTCTCAGCCTCTACCACAGTATTATGAAAGGGGGGGACCTTTTTCTACCACCCATCTTGTGCTTTTCATTTCATAATCCATCAATAAAAGCCTATGTTGTGGAATGAAACTTTCCCTGGTATTACCATACAATCTTTCACTCTTTTTTTTGTAATCTGTTTGACTCATAACAGTCCAACTTCTGTGTTATCAAGTGTTCTTTTGTGGAAAAATATATTGATTATGTCCAAGTCATGTGCTTGAACCATCTGCAAGATCACTTCACTTTCCTTATTTCTTAGTTTGTAGCTATGTCCTCCAAGCCACCACTGTCCTGTTCAATATGTCCATTTAGATCAATCACAATTGCAATTAATTATTCTTTAAGTCTGCTCTGCAGCATATTGTCCAGACCCTCTCTAAACTCTTCTTTTTCCTTATCACTACATCCCACTTGTGGGGTATAAGCATATACTGTATTCATTATGCCACATTTTGTTGCTAGCTTCACCTCCATCACTCTGCTGCTCATCCTTTTCACTTCCACTACTTTTTCTTATTTCTATGCTCAGTACAACTGCTACCCCATTTCTTTTCTTTCTAGTCCCATGAAAAATGTGTTTGTAACCTTCTCCAATTTCCTATATCTTACTTCCTTTCCATCTTTTATCTTCTATGCATTCTGCCTGTTCTTTTCTTCTCTTCCAAACCTCTGTAAGCTCTGCATTCTTTTCTGTCAATGTTCTTACATTTCATATAGCTACTGTGATCTTCAAAAGCTGTTCCTGTTGTGATCAATTAGTCTGTCCTAAAATACTTACAGTGCTTTTAAGAAGTTATAAAGGTTATGCAAATGCAATTTATGAACTGCACAATGGACAGAAGCATTTTTATCATTCACATGAACATCAGTTTGCACTCTTGAGTTGTTAGAGTCTGAATCAACCTGTATTTATCATATCACAGACATCTTTAGTAAGAAAAAAAAATCTTATTAAAATGTGATTTTTTGTGTGCAACAGATTTCTACTGTTAACTAAAAGCTTGCCATATTTCCTGAAAGCACTCTTCATAAATTCAGAATTATAGTCAGCATTACTTTTCCAGTACATGGTTGGTCCCATGGACTGATCTCGTACATATTCATTTAAAGGAAGATGGTCAGTAATCAGAGTTTAAAACCTTGCAATTTTTCATTAGCCTTTTTTGTTTGTTAGACTTTCCATGTCACATTGAAAGGACTTGTGAAATGGTAAGAAAACATTTAGATGTTTTCATCTTCCAAATGAATAATGTTTTCCAAAGTTTTGTGGCTCTTTTTTTTTTCAAGGATGTATGGCTTGAGTACCTGTCTGTATAGAAAGATTTGAATTGTATTCTATTTGATGACAGATTTAATGTTAATTGTCATATTATTCTGAATTTACATAGAAAAATGTCTGTCTATCTCTCACCAAAGTAATTTAAATAAAATGAATAAATTCTTGAATATATGGTTATAGGTGCTATTAACTAAACTTCTGTGGTGGTGTTGTCTTATTCATTTTAAAATATATCAATAAATATTTTCTTATAAGAATGCAAGTGTAATAAAATTGACAACTCAAGTTTCATAAATCAGTACTTGAAGTCAAGAACTACTTTAGTAACCTGTAGTATATCTCACAGTTTTATATATTTTGTAAAGAGGAAAAGCTAAAGATAAAATAATGTATGTGCAAGACAATTTTAATATCATTGATCTTTGAATATAGATTGTTAGATATTCCATTTTTGTATAATTAATCACATATACAGATCTAATGATTTTTAACTTGTTTTTGTAATGACAGCTTCTACAAACCTCAACTTTGTACATGATGCTGTTCAGGAAATTGGAAAACATGTTGCCATGGTTTAGTCAAAAACTTTTGTGTTCTGTTGTTCCTTGTGGAACCAGTAGCACAACTGTGACATGTCTTAGAAGGAGAGTAATGGTGATGATTGTTGTGACCAGGAGGCAATTAAGTGAAGAAAAAAACCATGAACAAAACCGTAAAGTAAAATTACCACCTGAAGAACCAGTTGGTTGTTGCATGAGTGGCTGTTATGACTGTGTGTGGGTTCAGTATGCTCAAGATTTGTTAGATTACTATAAAGATGGTGGGCAGAAGGCAATGCAAGTTATTAATCAGATGGATAATGAAAATTTGAAGACATTTTTGAAACTGGAGTTGAAAACCAAAGGAATTTTTTGATGAATATTAAGTAATAAGTAAGTGTAGGAAATAGCCTTTTTTTTCTGATGATCTTTTACCTTTGTTCAGCTAGAAGGTGCACATCCTCTGATGGTCTTTTACGTTTGATCCGCTAGAAGGTACACATCCTATGATAGTCTTTTCCCTTTTTTCAGCTAGAAGGTGCACATCCTATGGTGATCTTTTACCTTAGTTCAGCTAGAAGGTGCACATCCTAAGTTTAGTGACATAATATTACACTTTGAAATGTTTTCATCATCAGACTGCAGCACAACGGCTTGTTATATTTCTTATAGCATGTATAACAATAATAATACATCTGCTATAGAATCACTTGAAATATCTTAGAAATACTATGGTGCTTTGGGCCAAGTCCCAAGGATATGACTAAGTATGGAAAGTCAGTTGACATGAACACTTGAATTACCTTCAGAGATATTAATGCTAAGTTATGTTAAGTAATATACAAACTAGATAATATTTCAATGGAGGAAATTTTAGAAATAAATTTTTGGACATAAATAGGCTTCCATGTTCCAGTGAATAACAGAATCAATGTGATTTTGGAAACTTTGGACATGTACATGTCAACCAAAAGTGATCTGCAACTAGTCAAGGCGTATGGATAATATAAAAAAATTAACTTCTGAGGCAAGCAAAAATTTTAAGGCAACTAATTTTTATGCACACATACACTCTTTAAATCATGAGTTTTTGTCTGATGAAATAAAAATCAATCTACTGTAGTATTGTTGGTACTCCTTTTTGCTTCTGAAAGG